ACCCTGAAATTTGCCGAGAGGGTTGGCTCCATAGATCTTGGTGCAGCTCGATCTAACAAAGAAACTGGTGAAATTCGAGACATGAAAGAAGAGGTCTAATTGCTAAAATCACTGGTTGATAAAATACCAAATTTTTTTTTGCACATGTAATTGATGTCTTTGTGCTTTTCTGGTTGATTTAGATCTCAAACCTTAAGCAAGTGCTGGAGAAGAAAGAAGCTGAACTTGAACACCTAAAAAGTGGTGCAAATGCTCGAGGTCAAGCATCACCTCTTCGCATGATGAGACACAATGGTAATGCTAGCTTGAAGACTGAAGCCATTCAGCGTCCTCTAGATGACACTAGAGAGGTAAATGAGTTGGAAATCCAAGTAACATCATATTCACATAGGCTATGTTCCATCAGAAATCCAATTAAGTTTCATATTTACATAGGCTGGTTTGACTTAAATTTAGCTTCAAAAGACGATGTCATTCACAATTAAATATCTTGACTACAAATATGTTTTTATTTTTAGTACATACTCTGATTAGTTTTAAAGTTCCTGAAGTATAGGAACCAACAACTTTATTTCCTTTGGGGGTATTTGCAATAAATCATTTTGAGAAAGTGATATACTTTTCATTGCTTCTGTTGAGGCGAAACAGGTAAGAAGCTGTTCATCAGGTAAACAAAGGAGGTCCCAGTTTCCCTCTAAGTTCACGGACAAGGATTTTGTACCAAAAATGCCCTTGCTCACAGAGGAAAAATCAGTAGCCTCGACCAAGAGGAGATCACCATCTCCCCCTGTTAGAAGATCATTATCAACAGATAGAGGTGCTCACGTCAGAAACAGAATAAAGCCTGAAACACTTGAAAATCCGCCAGTAATGAAACAGCCGTTTCCTGCTAGAGTTCCTGTCACAATTAACAAGTCTGTTACCAACATGCCGGCAATTGTCTGTTCGGATAAAATGAGAGGATATCAGGGTTCACAAGAGCAATCTAGGCAGGAAAATATCTCTGATGTTCTATATAGCCTCCAGAGGATCAACAACAGGAAAATTCCAGAACATGATGAGGAGCAGTTTAAGCAAGTGCTTAATGTAAGACAAGGTGCAATTAGAAAAAGTAAAAACGAGAATAAGATCAAATCTAAGCATCAGTTATCAACTAAAATACATATCAAGTCAGATGTTTCAGTGACATTGCTTTCTAATGGAGGCAGCGGTGGAATGATCGAGGAGGCTCAGAGAAGTGATATTTCTGAGTCTGAAAATGAGAACGGGCTGGTTGAGTCGCACATAAGTGGCAACATAAGAGTTGGTAATCTTCCAAGAAGCTTCTCAAGGAACTCTCAAAATGTCGAACAAAGGTATGATCTACTACTTTGAGAATTAATATGCTATCCAACAACCATTCTGATAATTTGTTATGCAAAGGTGGATAAAAGGGCAGCCCGGTGCACTAAGCTCCCGCTATGCGCGGAGTCCGAGGAAGGGCCGGTCCACAAGGGTCTATTGTACGCATGCAGCCTATATTTAATGGGTTCAACTAAATCCAATATGTTTTTACACAAAACATAGATATATATGTGGAAAAACATAATAATAAATCTGAACCCATAATTTCAAAGAACAATATGTTCAATGCTAATTAAGAACCTTAAAAGTTGAATGTATCAAGTTTAAATCTTGGATCCGCCTATGATAATTACGGAGCTAAAAGAGTTGGATGAATCTAGCACCTTTCCCGTTTGCATTAACTATTTGATTTTTTACAGAGAAAGAGAAATATCACATACAGTTGAAGCTTTTCTTGCTGGTAAATATGAAGACAGACCTTCAAGTGGCAATAACATGCTTCGGACTGCAGAGGTAAACAATTCATTCAATCCTGAATTCAGGAAACCTGAGGATAAACCTTCACATGCCAATAGAATTGCTCGGAATGCAAAGGAAGCGAGTAACTCATTGGCTCCGGAATTGAGAAGAAGCAGATCAACACCACGTGGAAAATTCATGCTTTTGCCCTGAGAACTTCCATATACACACATCATTTGGATCAACTAATTTGTTAGTTCTTGTACAGCCACTTCATGCATTTTGGAGCATGCCTTTCATACTAATTCGAGAAAGTTGAAGATGTCAATGAGGACTTCAACCAGTATTACTGTATCCTCAAACCATATTTGAAGTGATATTGCCATGTATTTATATACAATACCTGATAAGACTTTAAGATATATGTACAGAAAATTGTATTTGTTTTAATATAAGGAATGGCAGATCAATGGATTTTTGCGAGTTAATTCGAACATGGATTAAAATGGCATCCCAGAAGTATTTCCTTAATGTTGTGAATAATCACGATAGCAATCCATTCAGTATCCGGCTGCTGCCTGCTAGTCAGAATCAATGAGCTATACTACCAATTCGTTAAATGATTGTGAAGGAAACTTGGTGAGCTTCGCGGCGTGTTTGGTATCTAGGAAAATATTTTCTTGGAAAATGAGTGGTTTTATCACTTATTTTCCCATGTTTGATTGTTGAATGAAAAACTTTTCCGGAAAATATTTTCTAGTGTTTGGTTAGTGAGTAGAAAATATTTTTCTTAGAAAATTTATAATTTAGGCAAGGACTATGAGAGACAAATGGATAAGGACGAGGGAGGGTGGTAGGTCGGGTCTAGGGACCAAGGTGAGGATGGCCGAGGGGTTGGGGGTGAAGGGGTGTGGTGTGGTGTGTTGGTTGTGGCGGGGTAANACGATATAGGGTTCGCGAATACGACCTCCGCAAATGCGAAATCCAGAACTGTGACCCATTGACCACAAATGCGAAGCCTGCTAAAACCATAGGATGTCACAAATGCGTCCACTGACTTCGCAAATGCAAAGTTTCACTCTACTAGTCAACGTTGCAAAAGTGCCCACAAGGTCGCAAAGGTGATATGCCCAATCAGGCATATGAAGTACATTAAAAACTACAAAACATCCCATAGATTCACATTTTCAAGTCTTGTTGTTCTTACATCGTTTTAAACTTCTTTTAGGATTAGCTCAGCCCTATGACCTATGTATGGAATACATAATATAAAGTAATCGAAACAACATGTACAAACAAGGACAATGAAAATGGCACATAATGTCAGCGTTAATTATGCGTCTTACTAGATCGTCCATATCCCTCTCTTATCTTAACCATATGCATTTCATAGACCGTCCTTAGTGTTCACATATCATATTATACATAGACCGTTCATAGGATTCCACACACAATACACCTATATCATTCATAGACCGTTCATATGATTTCATACACAATACACCTATACGTTTCATAGACC